GGCGATATCGACGCACGCCTTCGACATCGCCAGCTGCCGCAGCCGCGACACGAACATCTCGCTGCGCTCTTCTTTCAGCCATTCTATCACTGAAATACAATATTATTACAATTGGAACATTGTTGAACAATCTTACTAATGTTATAATAGTTTACAAATTAAAAAAAAAAAACAGATGTGAGCAGGCTATGTGTTCTTCCAGACTATCCTCTACATCTTTACCACATTTCATCAAAATCTGTTTAGCACATCTACAAACTTTAACATCCATCCATCCATTTAATCTTTCGCAATTTTAATATTAGTAAGGTGTAAAAGCTTGGATGAATGTATGAATGTTTGTTAGAGTTTGTAGCCTAAACTGTTGAATGGAGCTCTTTTGGCATAGATTCTAAATTTCATTGAGATTGTACAGATTCAGAGTGATTGTAAAAGATAATAAATTCTACGCAGAGTTGCGGGCGTAAACTAGTATTGTTATAAACATTAGTGTGACAAACTAATATTTGGTCAAAATAGTTTACCTTCTTTATCACTGGGCTTTTCTTCTGTGGGGTTTGATAGCCTCTTGAGTATGGGATGTCCCCAAGGATTTGAAAGCACCTTCTTGAACCACTCCGCCCTCTTCAGCAAATGAATTTCCCAGAATAGACCGGATCCTTTTCTCGTCGCGATCGCATCTTTGCATTCGTTGATATGAACATCTATCGCCTCGGCCAAGTTGCCATGCTGTGGTAATAGTTCTGGCTTTTGCCATTCCGTCTAACATTGGTAAAAAAAAAAAATTACCTTTGAACAGATTTTATTTACAACAAATAAGACTTTAACATAAGCATATAACAAATACGGGGATAAACACCAAAACTAAATATTAAGCAATCTTTAACACCAAATTTAGTTTAATATTAAAAACACAAAAAAAAAATGATTACTACTGTACTAATGTTCACTTAACTAATTTGACAGAGTTATACAAACAACTTTTATATCCAAATAAAAGATATATCCAACAAATACTTCCTAAATCTTGTAAAATTGCTAGTGATTGTTAACTAATAAATGAACAAAATGGTAATATTACATGTAGTATAGTCTGTGCGGTGTGGGTCTGCAGCCAGCCGAGCAGGTGAAGGTGGAGCTTGGGCGAGCTCTGCAGACACAGGCTGTGGATAGACTGCCACGCCTGGCAGACGTGCTGCGTGCGCTCCTGCAAGCCCTCCTCCCCACTCAGCCGACTGTCTAGAAACTGGAATTCAAAACCATTTATGATCAACTATCTGCAATTCCATCCCATGCAACTTCATCCGCATAAAATTATTAAAAATCTATTTTATTGTTTACATTTGTCAAACTATCAATTGCAAATGTCAAAATGACATAACATGATGACAAACCATGGAACACCAAACCACTATACATCCCCACTATGGGGCTCAGAGCCTACGCTAATAAGGGGTGACTAGGCCACAGTCCACCATAGCCCAGTGCAGGTTAGTTGATTTTACATACTTTGAATTTCTTTACTTATTGTGCAGGTTGCATCACAATGTTTTCCTTCACCGTAAGAACATTGGGTAAATTATCTACATATGAAATTCAAAAATCACATTGATGAGCTACCTATGCTCTATATATAAGTAAACACACACTTCTTTGTTACCTAAGATGTCAGCAATTACACCATATATTTGAATAATTCTTATTTTAATAAAATGCCCTACACTTACGTCATGCTTTAGGCTATATGTTTTCACGCAATTGGACTTAGGGGGTAAACATTTTGGATAAAAACCCTAATGTGAGAAGAGATCAAATATTGCTGTCAACATTTGGCATATGCTATTGATAATTTGACAAATGTAAACAATACAATAAATTTTTCATAATTTCATGCGGCTGAAGCTGCACTGGCACAGCCAGTATATAATATAAACTTTAATATAAACTATTCTTCATACTAATATTATAAATGTGATAGTTTGTAGTTATCTTCTTCATAGCTTATAGGAAATTATTTATTGTGACTCATTCTGTTAATCCTATCACACCATACCAGCCGGAAACATGCAATGTATTTTTTTCTACCATTATGAATGATGAAATGCATTGTAATACATCAAATAAATTAATTATGTCATAATTTAATGTTTGATGTCTAATGTTAGCTAAAAGGTGTATTTTCCTCATACAAACTGCAAATCGGTTGTGTAAGAAAATGTAAACATAAATCATTACTTGTCTGTGATATAAATGAAATCTTCACATACTACTAGCTTTCGCTTGCAACTCCGTACGCATGGAATTAAAAAAAAAAAAGTTTAAAAAACTCCTCTATATCTATGTTAAATAAGATTGAGATCTGTTCAGCAATTTAGACTACAAACTCTAACAAACATCCATCTAAACTTTCGCATTTATAATATTAGTATGAAGTATGATTTCTTCTATATTTATAATAGATTTTATTACTATAATTATAAATACGTAATACTGAACAATTGGAAATGATTTTCATTACTTTATTTGTTATGTAAACTGATGAGAAACTCTGAAGAATCATAAGAATTAAAACAAAAAGCTTGCTTATTTCCTCACCCTACCTTTGAAGAAAACCTAATTAAAATGAGGATATTTACATTGTAAAAGGTAGAAAATGTGCAAGAGGCTGCCATATTTTGCAAAAATAGTGAAGTAACCTGTAGCCATTTACGATTTAAATTACATAGACAAACACAGCCAAAGAAATAAATAAGGTATAAAGTTAAGCTTAGGAAAAAACTGTATATAGTGAAAGCAAAATTTGTACTAATGTTTATTAGTAAGGCTGTAAGGTTTCAGAAACATATTGGCTAAATATCAAATATATGAAATGAAAGTTTATGGAGAAATAAAGTTAAATAATCTTCAACAGAATTAGATACTTGTGTACTTAATAAATTTAGAATCATTTCATAACTCTATTCAGGATGGATTAGAGAATTACTGACATCTTGAGGGATCTATGGTGCGTCATAACTGCAATACAAACCCGAACAAAAAAGGCATTTGTGGCACCCTAATTTGTAACCTTTTGTCCTACCATAATGGCATTACTGATTTTGATTCAACCAATGTCAGGGTTACATCTCTTATGAGATTTTTTTAGAAATGTAACAATTTTGGTCATAAAATTACTATACAGTATTGTCAACAATACAATGAATTCTTCCTATCTTGTCAATAAAATCTCATATATAATTCCTAAACCGTATTCAAGACAAAAAAATTATAATTTACTCAATACTAGGCTATCTAAAAGCAATATCGGAATAACAGCGCCGCTAAATCGTCTTTCACACAGTTACAACAAAATCTCTAAGCAATCAAACATTGATATATTTAATGATTTAAATTCCTTAATTAAAACTAAAATTAAAAATTATTATTTCAGTAAAGATCACACACCTTAGGCATATACATTAAGTTTTTTTTTTTTTGTAGTGAGTTTAGCTTTAGTCTTTAATTCTTTGTCATGTAAAACTTTTATTATTTATTATAATGTTGGGTTAGCCTGTAAGTGTGTCCATGATATTGTGTTTTAGTTATAATTACTTTTCTTTATCAAACAGAACTTATTTCATGTGATATGTTGGCTTCCTATTGTAAATAAATAAATAAATAAAAATCAGATGTGTCATTTAATTTAATCTAACAAAATTTTACCTGATAAATCAATAATCTCTCTAATCAAATGAATGAGCATATCTTTGTCTTATCATCAGACTTAGATATGATGTTAAAGAAAATAAACAGTGTAATTCTTATCATTTTATTCGAACATAATAGTTGAAAACAGTTGTGTTAACTAGTGATTCAAATATGGTTGAATACTGAACATGAAGTTGGGCAAAATTAGACATTATGAAACTTCAAAGACTAATATTTTGATTGATCTACCTTTGTTTTGGAATTCAAAGCAAAACATTCTTATATGTTTCACCGTAATACTTAAGCTCGTATGTTAAATATTAATTAATTTCTTATTAACAATTTACAAGCTCTATTATTCAATATAATGAATATAATATAAAGGAATTATAGATTCAATGTATGTTGTATCTAATAATGTTAGACAAAATTAAAGAAGTACGTGATTTCAAGGAATAGAAGAATGGCAGACATCATCATTGATGGTTCAAGATGCCTGGCAATTCAGGTGTGATGGGACAAAAGCATAGTTGAAATACGTGTTTAATTCTGTCAAGACTCATATTAAATATTTGTATATAGTACACCTCCTGATAATATATGCAAAGTTATCATGAAATAAGCCTAATTCTATCAAAAACACGAAAACAAGAGCAGGTAGATTGCAAATATGGCGGCCATAAAGTGATCTTCAATCACAACGGCGTCACACTTGATCTTGAATCTCTTGGATTTAAAAACTAGACTTACCTTGTAAAGTTCAATAAAATATAATTTGCCTTTTGGGCCACTTGATTGTTTACAATTCACGTCTTTTCCATCATTTGTCGAAGTCATTTCTCAAGAAAATATCGCGGAGAGACATTTATGCGCTTGTGTTTTCGTAATGGTGCTGTCAAACTTAGTGTTGCAATTTGTAATTTCAAGATATGAAATAATTTGCCGATTCAAAGGTTCAAATGTGAATGTAATATTTCATATAATTCACTTACATGTTTTCTTCATTATTAATAAATTATTAGATTAAAGGCGTGAATTGTTATAAAACCCTAATAATTGTGTATCACAAAAAATGGACATATACAAAAACATAACTATTATCAACTTGCCCTTGTCCCTAGTCCCTACGGAGAGTCGGCACAGTATGTGCTGCTCTTCTATACATTTCTATCAACCGTCTTAGCTGAATTCACTCTCTTGTTAAGCTTATCTTTTTTCACACAATCCATTCATACTTTCTTCGGTCTCCCTTCCCCTATGTAGCCATCCACATTAACATCATAACTCTTCTGGTTTATGGCCCCATCCTCTCGTCGCATGACATGTCCATACAAAGCTAACCTTTTGCTTCTCAATTTCTCGACCACTGGCGCTACTTTCAAACTTCCTCTAATATACACATTCTTAACTTTATCTCTTTTTATCACACCACGCCACACATTCATCTTAACATATTCATCTCAACCACATGCAATCTCCTTTCATCCGCAACTTTGAAGTCCATTCAGATGAATTCAGATCCATATACATACGACAGGTCTTTGGATGGACTTTAGATCTGTCCCTTAAGCTTAAGATGTATTTTTGGATCACAAGCCACACACAATAATAAAACCAATCGGTAGAATTATCGAATTGCTATGGGTAATCCAAAAAATATTTTTAATCGTTCTATCTAATTAATATCGACATGTTGGCAAAACTGTTCAGTACAAAGCAACGCGAGTTGTGTCAGTGTAGAATCTGTAGAAATTTTACGTTTTCTATTAGAAATTCAATCCCATTAGAATGTAAAAAATGTAAAATATAGAGTTTGTGTTACATTATAGATGTGAGATTTATTTTAAAAATTATCTTTCGTGCAATGCATCGCAGCATTTCAAATTTTTCTAGTATTGTAATTTGGTGTGTCAAGTGTAGGGCTACATAGTGAACACAATAAATTAACTGATTACGTTTTACATTTGATAATTTACATAATTATCATCGCGTTTTAGTTAAATTACATGATCTTGTAATAGTAATACAAGTAACAGGATGTCTGATACAAAACTGGGCGTTTAATGAATGTCGGCACATCTGGCGAACATTGTCAACGCTATTTCCCCTTTCTTTTTTACTAATTAAGAGCAAAAGCATTGTTTTTGTTAGTTCTAATGCAATATATCTTATTTGTTAAAAAGAAGTAACCTTTCTCTAACAAATATAACTTTTATTTCGCATCAAATCCTATAATTTACTAATTTCTATTTACCTGATTATCAATTTTGTTTGTTCTATGTGTAGAAACTGGTGTTGTGATGTTCGTAGTAAGTGTTGCTTTATTTAGTTACGTGCTTAAACAGTGATAAATTTGGTACGATGGCCAAAAAGTCGGAGAATGTCGGTGGCAAGCTGATGACGGTGTCTGTTGTCGGTCTGTCTGGTAAGTGATGTAATATAATCCTAGATGTATATAAAATTATATATATACAATTCATCACATTGGAGATGTATTTATCATGCTCCTTAATTTTTCCTATACCTGGAATTGGTTCTACTGTTTATCAATACCTAATTTGAAGCGAAAACGTCAGGAAAAAATAAATAATATTGGCATTATCAAAATTATCACTCCAAAAATTGATTCCAGATTGTCAAACTTGTATGAAACACTACAACTATAGTATATTTATAGATAAAATGGTAACACACAGAATTAAGAAGAAATTACTGTAATTTTTTTAGGTAAATAAAATTATAAAATTGTTATAAACATGATACTAAAACTAACTTTTAAATGAAAAAAAAAATCATACATTCCACTTATTTTTACCATAAATAATGAAATTTAAATAAAATATTAAATTTTTAATGTGAAATTTTGAAATTTATGTAATGTTTAAATACTTGTTTTTAAATATATGGATGTAACTATCTCCAGAATTAAATTAATTTTTTTAGCGTATCTGCTTTTAGCATTTCTATTATCTATCTACATTTGTGCTAAAGGACAAATATAAATATATAAAGCACTAAAGCACAAATGTAGATGTGCTAAAAACCAATTATTTTAAATTCCACAGTGATAAAATCACTGGCAAAAGCTATGTTAAAATAATTTAAATAAGTAGTAGTATGAGTAACATTCAAAGTTTGTGATGTAAATAAGAACAGGATAATAATAAATAAACATGGAATGAAAGAATGCAATACCACATTCCATATTTCTGGGTGCAATATGATCTCAATTGCCTTAACAATGTTCTAACTGACAAACATGTGACCAACACAACAAAGTTGAGTTTATACAATTTGTGTACTTAATAGGAAAGAAGAATCTTACTCCTTACTTCTTTGTTATGTTATACATGTAAATATTTTGTTGCAATCTCATCAGAAATTTGGTATTACAAAGTTTTTTTTTATTCTAGGCAGACAATAGTAAGAATTTTCTGTATAAAAACATGAATGTAAAATCTTAAATTACTGTCATATGAAAACATAGTAAAGATTACAGTTATTATCATGTTAAATGTTGTTTTGAGTATTTTATACTATTATATGTTTTGTTTAATAGCTATTAAAAATAATAAAAACGAAGTTCCTGTATTTGCAAATAGTTTAAAAAAGCCTATAACTATTTTTATGTTATTTTTTACATGTTTGTCTTGTTTTTATAGTTTGGTTATTGTGGTATTTGTCCATACAAACATGACAAAAAAATTGTCTGTTTACTGGATATCTACAATGAATATAAACCAATATCTTTCTATATTAGATCATTGTATATTTAAGTTTTTTGTTTGTATTACTAAATTTAGTTATCATGCTACATACTAGTATTATAAATGCGAAAGTTTAGATGGATGGATGGATGTTTGTTAGAGTTTGTAGCCTAAACGGCTGAACACATTTGAATGAAATTTGCCATAGATGTAGAAAATATGTGGAAAAACACATAGGCTTTCTTTTATATTATGCCTATAGACATCCACAATAGTGAATGAGTTGCCTACCCTAAGGTAACAGAGGAGGAGATGCACATAAAGAGAATATTTTCCCTTCCTATGTATCCCCTGCACCATCAAATTCATATCCTTTTATGAGAAAAGAGTGGGAAGAAAAAGGGACTATAGTTGGGCATCCACTTTTTTTTTAAATTTCATGCAGACAGAGTCACGGGCGAAAGCTAGTGTGTTACATTTGGTTACCAATTGCTACCAAATAATGATCAATACAACACCATATGTGATTGTTAACAAGCTGTATTGGTGTTTATTATCTATTCTTCAACTTCCTGTTGCATTGTGTAGGTTTCCTTTAAATTATTTATTGTGTAAGATAAGTATGGCTGCTTTAAATAGACTCTCAACTATCACATGTATGTAGCTTCTATCGTTTTGTATTCATTTACAGTGGGTTTCTACTGCTGTTACACTTGTAATATGACACATTGTTATTAATCAAATTCTTAAAAAAACACAACCATCAATATGTTTCATAGAAGAAGTTGTACTTTTATAAATCTATTTGACCTTCAGTTCTAACTGAACAGTCGAACTGTACAGTTAATACTTTTGTGTATAGGAAAAATAATCACTTAACATTAGGTGTAGGCTTAACGAACATAAAAAAATGTTTGTTCTATTGAAACTGTAGGTGTGTCACAAGCTTATATCTATACTTATTGAGAATAGGTTCCAATGCGCTAAGGGAGAGCCATAAACTAGAAATAGAATAGAATAGAGGATAGGTTAACTTTATTGATTAAAATATGAAATGCTGGACAAAAAATGATAAAATATTTGATTACTGGTAGCTACATATATTATGAATATTCAGTTACTTATGATAAAATGTGTGAAGGTTTTTGAAAGTTTCATGTTTTATTAAGATAAGAAATACTATAAAATAAATAATTTCATGTTTATCTTAAGATTATAGCCAACTCCTAAAATGAAGATTTATATGAGATAGCTGTAGCTCGCGAAATCGCCCTTGTGATATAAAAAAAAATAATTGTAGCCTATGTTACTCACAGATAAATTACCTTTCTAATGGTGAAATAGTTATTGAAATTGGCCTAGTAGTTTTTACGTGAATCAAATGCATACAAAAATAAAAAAATACAAATCTTTCCTCTTTATAATATTAGTATAGATACTACGGAATTAATGAATGTTTGTCTACGTGTTTTAGTTTTCACACTGATGTACTGTCTGGTTCACACTTGACACAGATTGTATGGACTCACTGGTGTTTGTTCACAATATGCCGGTCCAGTTATGGATGGCTACTGACCAACTGTACTGTCCAAGTGTGAAACTCCTATGAGTTTTGTATTAAAAATGTAATGTAATTACAGAATTCTGCGATGAGTGACATTTTCGCTCACCATAAATGTCCTACAAGATGTTTGAAATAACTTGGATATCAAATTGTTTTTATTTCGTTGACACAGGTACGGAAAAGGAGAAAGGTCAGCTGGGCATCGGCAAGTCTTGTTTGTGCAACCGCTTCGTGCGTACCAACGCAGACGATTACAACGTCGATCACATATCCGTCCTCAGTCAGGTGAGCGGAAATAGATTTTGCTATTGTAAGGCCGTGTGCATACTAGAATAGATCGAAATAGTACTTCATTTTAGAGAATTCTGTGTATGAAACAAAAATCTGTTAATATTAAAAGATATTGTCTGAACGAACATAATTCGCTCGTCATACTATTGAAGACAAAATATTTGTAAAACACAAATGTAATTGCTACGTTTGTTAAATAAATCAACAAATAAACTTCTCGTCTGTAAATGAGTGCAAATCAAAGTGTTTTGTTTTTTTTTTCAAATAGAAATCAAGCTGATTCGAAATTCTTTCGCCGGGTTTCCAATTGTGCTTAAGTCGGCATTTTGTCGCTCGGCCCTCGCTCCCAAAGAGCCCTTGACCACTTGTAGCCGACTTTGTTGACTGCGAATACTGAAATAAATAAATTGAAGGTTGTTTTTTGCTGATCCGAATTATTGATTGTTGCCGATTTTATCCAAGTCGCGAAAAATTGGAAATAGCTCACGTTCATTCTAAGAAAAAAATATTTACTGTTTGCATTCTATTATTCGTACTCAGAAGGGTTTTAACTGATATTAGTGAGAATCTTTACATAACGTCATTGATAACATTTTGTAGTAGATCAGTGCAGCGCGAATGATGTCTTTCAGGCGTACACCAATTCTCATACAAATTTTATCGATGATGTTTCGAATGTTCTCGCAACTGTCACACATATTCGTGATAGACCCTCTTCTTATCTCAGTATAATTGTGTTAATAAACGATTGTTTAGTTATTGATAGTACCATAAAGGGTATATAGGGTGATTAAAAAATAGGTGATGACAAAGAAAGCATGTGTGAACCAGTCCTCTGCTATACTCTGTCTTAGTGGAAAAAGTTAATTCCGATTCCGATTTTCCGTTAATAAGATTGGGACAGGTTTATTCTATGTTGTTAACTGGATTTATCTTTGTAGTCGGACTTCAGCGGTCGTGTGGTAAACAACGATCACTTCCTGTACTGGGGTGGAGTGCAGAAGGAGAATGATGAACAGGAGTACCGTTTTGAGGTCATCGAGCAGACGGAATTCGTGGATGATGCCTGCTTCCAGCCGTTCAAAGGTATGTCTGATTGAAATTATGTTTAACACGTTCAAAGCTATAGATTCGCTTATGTTTTAAGTACTGTCGCGGAAATGCACGGTGTTTTACTTACAGAAATATCGCCTTATTTCTTGTATCGAGACAAATTCTGTCTCTTCCTACAAATAACTAATTAGTTAGCAGTAAATGGTGCAAATGAAATGGTAATAATAAAAAGAATCTAGCCTATATTTGTATGAAAATCGTAGTGACATTGAATTGAAATGTTATGCGTTTTTATATTTAAATTCGAAGCACAAAATAGTCTTAATGTTTGAAAAACCCACCGTTGGCGACGTCTACTGTTAAAGTGACGTAATTCGAATATATCTTGTTCTTCGACTGTTGTCTGCGATCTGATTATTACCTTTGTTTTTTTTTAAATGAATGAAGGTGATTTATTAATCTTTGTGTTATGTACAGTGGGCAAAACAGAGCCTTACGTGAAGAGATGTGTCGCAACAAAGATACAGTCTGCGGAGAAATTGATGTACGTGTGTAAGAACCAGCTGGGGATAGAGAAGGAGTACGAGCAGCGGCTGATGGCGGACGGCAAGCTGACTGTGGACGGCTTCCTCTGCGTGTATGATGTCAGCCTGGTGCCCGGCAGGACGTGGGAGAAGCAGGTAAGAGGATACAAATACAAATATTTCCTCTTTATAATATTAATATAAGTACAAGTATACAACAACTGTTACGAAAGAATTGAACAAATAGAGATTTTTTAATTTAATTTCAATTAAAAAAATTGATTCGACATTTTTGTAACAATAGGCTTCCTTAGTAGGTAACTTCCCATAAAGAAATTATTGATAAATTATTAATACGACAAAAAAGTATCTCAAAAAAATCACTCTTTACAGAATGAAATAACAGCGGCGATCCTCCAGAATATAATAAAACTGAAGAAGCCAGTTGTCCTGGTGACGTCTAAGAACGACGAAGCGTGTGAGCAGGGAGTGAGAGAGGCTGAGAGACTGGTCCAGAGGAAGGAGTTCAAAGGCAGCATACCTATAGTGGAGACCTCCAGTCATGATAATGTGAACGTGGACCAGGCTTTCTTTCTGTTAGCTCAGATGATAGATAAAGCCAAGGCTAGGATTAAGGTAAATAAATACTATCGACTAATAATAGATAACTGAAACGACATTTAGATATGTGACCCAGTAAAATTTATTGTAAGTGTCGTTTATAAAGCAATTTTAGATTCGTTTTAGAAAACAGCCGTAAAATGATTATGCCACGCTATAATGACAGATTACGTTAAATATTTGACTTTTAAATGTCTATGGGCTAATATGAGTTCCAGTGGCCCTTTGCTCTTTGTCCCTTTATACTGTAAAATACCAGTTGCTCGCAAGTAAATTAGCTTGGAATTAAAAAATATAAACTATAACGTAGCTTTTTAATGGTGACTGAATTTTCGAAATTGGCCCAGTTTGAGTTATTTCAATACATAAAAAAAATACAAATCTTTCCCCTTTATATTAGTATTGATAAAAATAAATACATATTTGTTTAATTAAATAATAAATAAATATAATATAATGTATATATATTTGTTCCAGGTGGCTAATTACGCGGAGGCTCTGAGGATACGACGCGAGACTCTAGATTTTGTGACTGAAGCATTTACTCAACTCATACGGATACATGTTCAAGATCACAAGTATGTACTATTAGCTGTCAAATATTTATTTATTATTTAACTAGCTTTCGCCTGCGACTTCGTCCGCGTGGAATTAAAAAAAAAACATAAGTGAGCCTATGTGTTCTTCCAGACTATTCTCTACGTCTATACCAAATTTCATGTAGATCTGTTCAGCCTTATATATATTTTATAGCCTAAATATAAACTCTAACAAACATCTATCCATCCATCCATCTAAACCTTCAAATCATACTTCTTACTAATATTATAAATGCGAAAGTTTAGATTGATGGATGTTTGTTAGAGTTTGTAGCCTAAATGGCTGAACGGATATCGATGAAATTCAGCATAGATGTAGAGGATATCCTGGAAGAACACATAGGCTACTTGCATTTGTTTGTTTTAATTCCGCGTGGACGGAGTCGCGGGCGAAAGATAGTTTAAAATATTAGTAAGAAGTTTTTTTTTCCTAAATTCAATTTCTTATAAGATTTTATAATTTGTAAATATGGACTAATGTAATGGCACTGAATAAAATTTTTTAGTCACATTTGAATTCCGTTTTCGCTTTTATTTCTAAAAAAATGTTGATTTTTTTTTAACAATTGGTTGGTCAGTATTCTTTGCTATAGTTTTTCTCTAAATGTTTTTTAAATTCATTAACGATAAATGACTGTTTTCAGAGAAATGTGGTCGGCGGCCAGCAAAAGATTATGCCATTTTCCAGAATGGATAAAGTTTGTTCAGCAATTCGGAAACGATGGTACTCAGGTAATAATTCAACAAGCATTTTTATAATAGAGGATTCTCCTTAATTTTCATTGTTGATATATTAATACTTTTTTGTGTATTTTAATTAGGTGGTTTACCGTCGTCATATACGACGTCTGAAGGAAGAGAGATCGGCAAAGAAACTTAGGAAGCAATTAGCTAAGTTGCCACAAGCGCTGTCTCGTATGAACCTGCCCACTGAAGATCTGCAGGAAAAGTAAGAAAAATCAATTATTGTTACTTATCTCTTATTTACTTTTATTAGAATATTTAACAGTATCGGCTGTCTCACACAGGAATGTTAACAAGTTATTTTTTATGGATAATTAATATTTTGTATGGATATCGATAATTTTAAAATAAATGAGAATAAAATAAATAATGTCATAGAAATGTTAGAGTGTCTACATAATAATGTGCTTATAATGTTATTAAATGAACACAACGGTTGTCGAGTGCCAAATCTATGCTTAAAATATAATTTATGTGCGTTTACTTTTGCATCGATATCGATACTTTTATATGTCAGTATCGGTATCGTTGTATCTTTATAGATATCGATACTTTGAAATCGATATCGATATTTAGATTTCGATATCGATGTGTGTGTATGTGTGCAGCGACTGGGGCATGGTGGTGCGGCAGCTGCGGGCGCACCGCGACTTCCCGGTGTACTTCAGCGAGGGCCGCGGCCGCGACTCCGGCTCCGGCTCGGGCTCCGAGCTGGACAGCCCGCTGCACACAGACACCACGCTGCGGCTCGGAGAACGAGTCAGATACCAGGTAACATCTATAGCTATTGTGTGCTAGAAGCCTTATTTTAGTCCATTTCCCTTTCCATTCTTTTGTTATAAGGAAAAAACGGGAAAGGAAATTGAATTTGATGATGGAGATGGCTAGGAAGGGCAAATGTCCGCTTTAAGTACGTCTCCTCCTTCGTCTGCGAAGAGCAGGCAAGACATGATGTATTTAAAAATCAGATCTAAAGAATTTTTTTCTGTCTGTCCGCAAGCCGCGTTTGTGTCAGGTAATCTCTGAAATAACTGGGCTGGTTTTGTCGGGACTTTTAGTACAGTACCTGTTTACTAGCGGTCGCTCGCGATTTCGTCAGCGTAGATATAAAAAGGGGCCTATATTCCTGCTTGCATCAGCTACCTTCTTTGCAAAGTCGAGTGAAATCGTTCCAGCCATTTGGGAGATTGTGCCCAGCTGCCTTGTGAACGATTTTTAAAAGTTTTTCCTTAGTTATTGTAAATTCTTAAAGCGTAATTTAGAAGTTAATTTTGTTATAATGTTATGTTAATAGACATTGGGACAATCACAGAAGATACCGTACGACATATTGGAGACGAACGAAGCGGCCGCCGTCTTCAAGACTTTCCTACACGAGGCTCAGGAGGAACAGAGGAATTACGAGTAAGCATACGCCAAAATTTTTTATTAACAAACTTGTTGCTCGTAAGCGGCCTCATGATATTATAAACGAAAACTGTTTACATTTCGTAAAAACAATTTACAAATGTAAAAATTCAAACGAAGTTTTTTGCCGTTGCCATTGGTTCCTCGCTTAATTTCTGCTATTCGCTTGTAGTTTTGCCTCTTTCTCTTATCACAACTTTTTGTTTCAATTTACTCCCCAAATCAAATAGCATGGAAATTTTATTATAGAAAAAAAATTATATATAGCGTGTAAATCTAAGAGCGGGCCCACAACTCTGACTAAACTATCGCACTACTTTTGTATGATTTTCCATTCATTCGCAGCTAATTCGACTTTTTAGTTGCACTACTAAAAGTTGAGTAGCGCATCTCCATATAAGCTTACAGGAAAATCAGTATATATTAGTATAGATATTGTACCGTGTACTGCAGATGGTGCCAGCAGTTCAAGCGGCTGCTGGAGGAGACGGGCTACGTGACGCCGGGCAAGCAGCTGTCGGAGGTGCGCGTGCTGCTGATGGGCCGCGAGTGCTACGAGGCGCTGTCGGAGGAGCAGCAGCAGCGCGTCTACGACCAGCACCAGCGCCAGATACAGCGCCGCGCCAAGCACAATCTTCAGGTCCGACACACAAGAAATACCATATATAAGTTGACAACTCAAAACATTTTGCTAAATTATAACAAGCTCCATATTTTGTTATAAAATAAACTAAATAGGATTTAGACGAATAGAGTCGATGGGGACATAAACCAGAAAGTGTTCAGTATGAATGTGGATGGCTACAAAGGAAGAGGAAGACCGAAAAAAGTATGGATAGATTCTGTGAAAGAGGATATGCTTAAGAAAGAAGTAGATTTAGAAATGACGGCTGATAGAGATGTATGGAAGAGCAGCACATACTGTACCGACCCTCCATAAGGGATAACAGCAAGTTGATGATTAGTGTTTGAAATAAAATCTAAACATTTAAATATTATTTAATGACACCTATTGACAATTTATTTTATTAACATATGGTTTTGAGGATATAGATAGAGTGTGAGATTATATGAAAAATGTTTCAAGTAAAGTGTCAACTATGCCTCTACCTTTTTTAATCTCTCTGAGGTCGGTACAATTCCAGTAGCTTCTAGAAGCTTCTAGAAGCCTTGAGCCGCGTGACGGAGCAAGCAGATGTCTGTATAATTACTAACCTGTCGAAATAAATTCCAGGAGCTGCTATTGGAACATGCGGACCTGTTCTATCACTTCAAAAGTATATCCCCCACCGGCACCATCACACAAGAAGATATCAAGGAAATAACTGATGTACTGCAAGATGATTTCAGGTATTGCTTCGAACGAACTATATAAATAACAAAAAGCTACGTATCCCTCGGGAACCGGACATTTCTCAGGGATGAACCTTATCGCATGTTTACTCCAGACTGTTTTTTATATCTGTGCCAAATTTCAATAAGATATGTTGATCCGTTGCAGAATGATCGAGTAAACATTAAAAAACTAAATTAATGAATCCCACGGGAACTGTAACTATTTCCGGGATAAAAAGTAGCCTACGTGTTCTTCCAGACTGTGCTCTACATTTATACCAAATTTCATCGAAATCCGTTTAGGCTACAAACGTTAAAAAACATCCATCAATCGTAACTCGTATTTTATTATTTATATGATATACGTTTATATGTTCCAGGTACAAGATGCTGGACCGCATGGAGCAGGACCGCAAGCTGCTGCTGTTCCAGCACCTGGGGTTCGTGCACTGCCCCATGCGCGAGCACTGCCCCGCCGCCGCCAACTGCCTAGACGCCACGCTGCCCGTCATACTCAACACACGAGTCGGGTCAGTCACCGTACGCCATTCTACTGCGTCTTCAGTATTTACTGAACAATGTGTTAAATGTTCAGTGTTTACTGAACAGTGTGTTCGGTGTCTGCTGAACAGCGTGTTCGGTGTTTGCTGAACAGTGTGGTCAGTGTTTGCTGAACAATATGTTAAGTAAATACTGAACTATCTATAGAGAGAGTGGGAACGACGATTTTCAGTGTGTAATTCAATCGCATTACACTCTTTGCATTAATTATTCTTATAAAACCGCATATTTGAAAATTACCACAATCTAGACTAAATCAAATGTTCCATATACTATTTTGTGACGTTATTAGGTTAGGATAAATATTTTCGCCTTCCCATCCTTTTCTTACAAGAATTAAAAGTGTATTTAACGGAGGAGGGGCCCATAGAATGAGGAAATGTCTTCCTATGCGTCCCCTCCTTCGACTAATAAAGGTAGGCACCACATCTGTAACACAATGTCTATAGCTTTCTCGTTTGCCCTTTGATATAGAAAAAGGGATATTTTTTCTTGAATTCCACTTATTACATGAAGTAGGAAATAAACAATAAGTATTGATGTTTCCAGATCATTAACATCAGGCAGTGAGTCCCAGTGCCAGGCGGGCCCGCCCGCAGCGCCCTGGGCTCTCACCACTGACTCCAATCAGATTAATGTCATCATATTGGGGGTGAGTGTCTTTTTATATATATTATCTACATATTGTTTTCGTGTGGCGTCATCATATTATATATATCTAACGGTATAGGCTAGGGTAGGGTAGGCTAGGGGTTTTAACGCCGCGATCCAGAAATACACTGTTTATTAATAGTTCCTTAACATTAGTAGTAATAACACATAGCCTATAACATATGTTACTCGCAGAAAAATTACCTTTCTAATGTTGAAAGAATTTTAAAAATCAGTCCAGTAGTTTTTGCGTGAATCAAATATATACAAAAATTACAAATCTTTCCTCTTTATAATATTAGTATAGATGTTGGGCAGTAGAAGGAACGGATGAAAGGAGACTACATGTGGCAGAAATGCGAATATTAAGATAGATGTGTGGGGTAACACAAATGGATAAGATACGAAATGAGTATATTAGAGGAAGTTTGTAGCCCCAGTGGTAGAGAAGTAAGGAGTAAAAGGTTAGCATGGTATGGGCATGTTATGGGGAGGGATGAATCGCATGTTAAAAGGAGAATGTTAGTTATGAGTGTGGTACATCGGTAGAGGTAGACCTAGAAAGAGCTGGATGGATAGTGTAATAGGTGACATGATCAAAAAGGGAGTGATGACTGAGATGACGTATGATAGAGTTATATGGAGGACAAAAACCTGTTGCGCCAACCCTACGGGAGTAGGATAAGGAGAAAGATGATGAATATTAGTATATACTAGGTGTTCCCGTGCGATTTCATCAGCATAAAATTATTTTATTTTTTATATGTGCCAAATTACATGACATGACAAAACTTGGCAATCTTGTTTCCTTAATGTTGGCAGCAATTTGTGGTCTTTTTCCGCCCCTAAGTTTAATATCGTGAAAATATATAGCCTAAAGCGTGATGTAAGTGTAGGGCTTTTTATTAAAAATAGAATAATTCAAAAATATGCCGTCATTGCTGACATCTTAGGCAACAAAGAGTGTGTGTTTACGCTTTATTATAATAGTAAATATGAAATAAGTGAATAAAGACATATGTAGATGACAATATATCAGCAGTGTTAATAGATAGTGTAAATGGTGTGCAGATGGAGGGCGTGGCGGGCGAGTTCGGTTCGCGGCTGGCGGCGGGCTGTGACGCGGCGCGGCGCGTGTGCGTGCGCGGCCAGCCGTGGCGCGTGCAGCAGCGGCTGCGGCTCGCGGACGCCGACACTACGGACAACGATAACGATGACTTCGCACCTAACGGTATGTATCTAATTTCAGTCCCTTTTCTTAAGTGGAAAAGAGGATTTGACGGTGGAGCAGACGCAGGAAAGGGAAATGTCCTCTTTATTTGCGTCTCCACCTCCGTCTATTAAGGGTAGGCAACGCATATCCACTTGTGGATGTTTATGGGCAGCGATCTTTTTCCATTTTGGTGGATTCAGGTGGCCGCTTGCTCGTTTGCCACCATATATTATAAACAAAATCTACGCCTTACATATCCTTGAAATTATGCTGTATGATAGAGTTATTTGAAGGACAAAAACCTGTTGCGCCGACCCTACGGGAGTAGGATAAGGAGATGATGATGATGATATCCTTGAAATTCTAACAATACGCAATTAATTTTATACTGGTACAGTATTGTTCCATTGGAGATCCCGGGATCAAATGACACCTGAGGGCGGCCACTGAGATGCTGTTTAGTGACTAGAAATCTCACATCTTTCATTTTTCGAATATCTTTCGAAGATTACCATCCCCACCCCCGATACCAAAAAAAGTCACTTTTTACTCTTTAACTTACTATTTATTACTGTTAAGAACAAAATTAGTACTGTGCTGTAGAATTGGCGCAACTCTAGATTATCTACATAAACGTCACGTCCCTAGCAGACAGCTGTCAATGTCATTAGAAGTATAGATATATTGGCGCGCATCCTTAGTCCTGGCGAGAAGTGTCGCTCTGAGTTTAAAGCGACAGTATCAATTAAATAAGTTGTCTAAAATTATACTAGTATAGGTAATTTTTATAATAGATTTACTGTGTTAATAAAAATTACAATTTATAAATTGTTGGTTTTCAGGTTACTTCTGCGTCTATCAAGATCAGGAGTCGTTCGAATTCATCAGAAATTGTGCGGAGAAAACCCTCCTATCTAGTCTTGAGCAAGAGGATAAATTACCTTTTCAAGTTAGTAATTGTTTTAAATAAATCTTACTTTTTTATTAATATTATAAACACGAAAGTTTGGATGGATGGATTATTAGAGTATTTGGCAAAGATGCAGAGAATAGTGTGGAAGAACACATAAGCTACTCACTTTTGTTTTTTTTTTCTCTAAATTTCACGCGGACGGAGTCACGACCAACAACTAGTTAACTTTATTTATTTTGTTCCAGGGTCTTCCATTAGTAGTGATGTTTGTACAAGACGAGGGTATGGATAAGAAGGAGCTCGCCAGGCTGCAGGAGGAGGGACAGAATCTAGCTGATAAGTGAGTTTTATTGACTTATGTTCACTGTATTTTTTTTAATACTTTGTTGACATCTATGTACAAACATAACATATTTAGTGACTCAGGAGTTAAGCATATAGTTAGAAATCCTCAGATCTTGGAATAAAGCCTTTATATCAATGTTTTACGAATTTCATATGTATATATAGTTTAATTTCTTCTTTATTTTCTTTAAATACTTGTTTCTGATATGGTAATTTAATAATATTCTCTTACTTTATTTTATTTATTATTGTAAGTTTCATTGTGTGCTGTGGGGCCTGATGATCCATTACATAGGGCGCCACCTTAATTTGGACACCAGTCCCGTGCCCAAGAGGAAAATCAATAAAGCTGTTTTTTTTTTATCTTATTAATCCGACATTCTTATGATGAATATGATAATCAAATATATGTAAACTTAGCCCGCAGTTGGCCAGCATGGTTAACTATGTCCTAGTCCCTTAACTTTAGGCTCCGAGCTCCTTAGTGTGATAATGATGATGATGATGATGTCGCAGCATACACTGTTCGTCATGTAGTCATTTTCAACTTGTGGGCTCTAGCCCCGAGGACGTGTGATGATGATATGATGATGTCGCAGCCTACACTGCTCGTACATGGAGGCGGCGGTGGGCGAGCTGGGCACGGAGGCGCTGACCGCCGACGCTGTGCAGGAGCTGGTGCGCACCAACAGGGAGAAGGCGAGCTACGCGCACCTCTACAGGGACCTCATCGTCTGCTTCGACTCTGATATACGGTAATAATCACCTTTACTAATTTTCACTAGATTTAAATTTGTAGGTACGGAATACAAAATTAAAAAAAAAAAAACAAAAGTAAGTTGCCAAGTTTTTCTTCCAAACTAAGCTAGCTTTTGCCCACGGCTCCTTGTGTATTTAAAAACACAAAAGTGAGTATGTGTACTTCCAGATTATCCTCTACATCTATACCAAATTTCATTGAAATCCGTTCAACCGTTAAGGCTACAAACTCTAACGATCCGTTGAGCTGTTCCGGAGATACTTTCTAACAAACGTCCATCTAAACTACACATCTTTGAAATTAGTATGATTTAAGTGAGCAATGTTGACATGTTCGAAAGTGTTCTATGTACAATCAGGGAATTTGTAGGTGTGTGAAAACCTATAGTTGGTTATTCGTATGAGACGGAGTTTGTCTCCTAGCATGGAACAAGGTAATTTTTCTGTAAGTGGGACACCGAGAAATTGCGAAACTGTACGTTTTACTAGTTTCTATCCTAGTTAAAGTATATAACCACAAATCTATAAATGTTGAAATGGACTATTTATTTATAAGTAAAAAGTTGCGACTTACAGTTTATTTCGAATTTCCGTTTATTAATACGTAATACGTATGGTTTCAGGATAATGGTGTGCATGTTCTGCGACGACCCGTACTCCCCGGAGCGTGTACTGGGCCCACTGCTGGGACACCGCGCCTGCTTCCTCACCGGCGATCGCTCCATCGTTATTGAGACCTTCCTCGGCGACTCCAAGAGGAAAGTTGAGGTCAGTTTATAATGGTCCTATTTACTCTGAACTTTTGTAACAGTGTAGAGATTTTTAGAAAACTAGCTGCTTCCCGCGACTTCGACCGTGTGAAATCAAAAAATGTAGCCTATGTTACTCACAGATAGGTTACCTTTCTAACGGTGAAAGTTTTTTTTTAATCAGCCCAGTATTTTTGCGTTATTTCAATACAAATCATTCCTCTTCATAATATTAGTATCGACTAGCATTCGTGCAGGACACTATCGGTGTAGAATAAAAAAAAAATTAAGTAGCCATTGTCTTCTTCCAGACTATATATCTATGCCAAATATCATCGTGATTCGTTCAGCAGTTTAGGCTACAGACTGCAAGTAACATCCATCCAGCTAAACTTTCCCATGTAAATGTGTTTCAGGTGATAATATCAAGCTTCCACGGCGCGAGTCAATTCCGAGAGGAGCTGATACATGGCTTCATATTGATATACTCTGCTAAAAGGAAAGCCAGCTTGGCTACTCTCAAGTTAGTATTTAGCTTTTTTTTATATATTACATACTTGCTGTTGCTCGCGACTTCGCGTTGAATTCGAAAAATAATGAAAATATAGCTTATGTGAGTCACAGATATTTTTTTTTATATCGGCCCAGTAGTTTTTGAGTTATTTCAATACATACAAAAATCTAAAAATTTACCTTTCTAATGGTAAAAGATTTTTTAAATCGGCCCAGTAGGTTTTACGTTAATCAAATACATATAAAAATACAAATCTTTCTTCTTTATAATATAGGTATCTAGAAAAGATTTTGTCAATGATCAAAAGGTTAACGTTTTTAGATATTTCTAAAATTTATAATCAATCAAAAAGCATCGAAAACATTATTTTTCTCACTTTCACATGTATTTTATTACATTTCAGTGCGTTTTCTATGAACATCCCCAACCTGCCGATACAAATGGTAGCGGTGACGGACGGCGGCGGCTCCGCGGCGACTGCCTTCTTCGGCACCGACCTCGGACATGCTCTCATCACGGAGGGCAATGCCACCGCTGACCGGCTTGGTGCACACTTTACCACCTATACCTCCAGCGCGGAGAACAAATGTAATATACTCTACTTTACCCTATCAAATCATACTAATATTATAAATACGAAAGTTTAGATGTATGGATGTTTGTTAGAGTTTGCAGCCTTAACAGCTGAACGGATCTAGATGTTGTAATGAATTTTGTACAGATGTAGAGGATAGTCTGGAAAACACAGGCTACTCACTTTTTGTTAATGTTGGCATCTTGTAGTTTTTGTCCCTTACACACATGAAGGTTTTTTCCTATTTATTTACCCCCTAAATTAAATTGCGTGAAAATAGCTAAAGCGAATAAATACGACACGTAAGTAGGGTATTTTATTAAAGGAAGATTTATCCAAGAACTAGCTGTTGCCCTCAACTTTGTCTGCGTAAAATTAAAACAAAAAAAAAACAAAAGTTAGTAGTCTATGTTTTCTTCCAGACTATCCTCTACATCTATACCAAATTTTATCAAAATTCGTTTACCCGTTTTGGCTACAAACTCTATCAAACATCCCTCCATCCATCTAAACTTTCGCATTTATAATATTAGTAAGATATGCTGCGATTGCTGACATCCTACGCCACGAAGTAGTGTGTGTTTACGCTTTATTTTATTAGTATAGATTTGTATGAAATGAAGGATGTATTGTATGTTTCCAGCGGCGTTCTACACGCCGTTCTTCAAGGAGGTGTGGGAGCGCAAGGGCGAGATAGAGCGCGCGTTCCGCCTGGAGCAGCCGCACAACCTGCCCGACGTGGCCGCCGCGCGCCCCGCGCCGCCGCCGCGCCTGCACTCGCACTCCAATCACAAGTAAATACACAAAGGCAGGCCACTACACCGGACTGGCAGATCTGCCGGAAAAGCTGTACAATTTATATGAAGCTATTCACATTATCCCGGGTCCGGCATTTTACCGAACGTTTTGTCACTACGAATTGCCGGTAGAACAACCTGGCCCGGAGTCTCCCTGACCTCCCGTCTCCCACTCATTCGGCTCGCATTTTCTGATAAAAGTAGACGTTTATCATGGATATTCAAGCAGAAACTTTAATTACGCTTGTCCAATTCAACTGAGGTAAGTACTTGACTGTCTGAATTTCTTCCGGGATCCGATGTAATGTGAACACTGTCCGGTGTCCTGTTTTCGGCAGATCTGCGGTCCGGCGTAGTGGGAACGCTGCCATATGATAACTTTTCTTTAAAACTAAAGTCATAGTCATACTATAATCAACTTGCCCGTATCCCTTACGGAGGATCGGCACATGTGCTGCTCTTCCATAACAGTTTTTTTTTATCAGTTTCGGTTGAACACTAATTTACACAAAATTTTTCGTTTTTCAGGATGGAACACAAATTAACCAACTCCCTGGACCTGCTGATCGGGCCGGACTCGCGCGCTGACATCGACTCTGAGTACAGCGATACTTTGAACAACTCCAAGAATAGAGGATTCCTTAAAGGTAAATAAATAGTATAACTATTTCTACATAAGCAAATGTTATACCTTAGCCGCAAAGACATAAGAAATGTATAGACGAGGCGTAGTGAACAAATTTTTTCACTGGTTCTTTCTCTGAAAGGTACTATATCAGTTGTCAAGTTTGGTACCATCTCGTGTCTTTGTATTGACATGTGATAAAACATTTTGAAATACATCAATAAGCTCCATCTTTTGTTATAAAATCAATGAAAAAGTGTAGCAAGATTACACTATAAAACGAAATACAATTAAATGTATGTTTTGAAGCTAGCAGCAGATAGCGTTAGTGATGATTATGTGAAAAATGTCTAAAGTGTAGTGTTCACTTTGCCTCCTCTAATTATTTTTAAATCTCTTGCTTAGCCGGTTTGTTGACATGACCCGTTACTTATTTAGACAAAATCTCAATAAGTTTATTGAATGAAATGTATTTAAAAATGATTCAATAACATTTACAATAATGTCGCATAAATGTTACAAATCTAAAAAGATCAAGATTACTTGCTTTCATTTTGTTATCGTTTAACTTAGAGTATTTTGTGACAGGATTCAGCGTGTACCCGCCCCCGAGCACACCGCCCGAGCCCGCGCCGCCTGACCACAGGATGCACGCGGATCTGTCTCGTAAGTGTAGTGTGTTACAACTTCTAATTGAATGGCAATGCTGTTTTTTATATACCAATATGATCGATGTGCTTAGAAAAATGTTGATTGTTATAGCTTATGTGTCATTTCAAGAAGTAAATGCAAATTTTGCGTGGAATATTAATTCTGATATTGTAAACAAGAAAACAGTAGCATAATACTTTTTTTAAACTTTGAGACATTATTTTACATAGTCTCAGACTTCTTTATTATTATATAACATTGTTATACATATATGTGATTAAATTACTTTCATTTTACTTACTTTGTTTAAAAATCTACAATGGTAATTTACAAACGCAGCGGATCTGAACTGCTCGGAGGAGTCGCTGAGCACGCACGAGTCAGGTGACTGCACAAGCGAGTATCTTACTGACACCATCTTGTACACTTGTCTTGTCTAGTCCTGTACGATACAATGGCAATGGTTTTTAGAGAAATTTTACATTTTATAACCAAAAAAAAACCTCTATTTGTAAAGTTATAAATAGACCGTGTTTTCACTGATGATTCGGTCAAAGGAATTTGAAATACAAATATTTATCCTTATCAAAACTGTGAGGATATTGCATTAGTGGAATAAGGGTCTAAATATATAAAAAAATGTTAGAGAAGAGTCTGTACCCTGTTTATAATTAAAAATATAAAATTTCTCTAGTAAGGATTATTTTTTGTATTATGTAGGGAATGCGTTTTTCGTTTTTTTTTTTTAAATTATTTCTGCATGAATTAAGTAGGATAGTTATTTTATGTTATATTTCAATTTATAAGTTTTATGTTATTAAGGAATTTTATGTTTCATTTGTAGTTTATAGTGTTACTGTTGTATTGGAATGCGAAGTTGTATAATTTTAATTATTTTTAAGTTATTATATTTGTTATTTGGTAGTGTTTATAATTTAATTTTATTGTGTACAAATATTTCAAAATAGATTTGTTCCGCACTACATTTTATTGCAAGTGTGTGCATGAAATAGGATCAAAATTAGCAATAAATAAGTATACTATTGTTTTAAGTAAAATATGACAATTATTAGTTACAAGTCTTAATGACCTTGAATGACCTTGAAATTGCCTTAGTAAAAATTAAACAACTAAATATAGCAGTTTAGACTTCAAATATCGGTATAAAAGAGCATGTGAAGTTGGGATTGATGGTTAAACATCTGAAAACGTAGTTTGGTGTTCAATATAAGTATGTAAGGTGGTGTAAAGTCGGGATACATTGCCAGTATGTGCGCAGACGGCGGCGCGTGGCAGCCGGCGGGCTACGGGCACCGCGCGTTCACTACGGGCCGCACGCGCCCGCAGCCCCCGCCGCAGCGGCCCCGCCACTCGCAGACACTCAAGGTATGTTAAATCTATATAATTAGAATTATATGAATGTGTATATGCACTTCCAAGACTATGTTCTACATCTGTGCTGAATTTCATAAAGATTTTGTAAGCCGTTTTAAAGATAAGGAGTAACAAACATCCATCCGGGTATTTATAATGTTAGTATGCTTAAATTTATAAGCAATCAAAATTCACTTTATTTAGATATTTACAACAATCATCATCATCATCATCTCCCCTGCCTTATCCTACTCCCGTAGGGTCGTCGCACCGGGTTTTCGTCCTCCAAATAACTCTATCATCCGTCATCTCAGTCATCACTCCCATCTTGATCATGTCACCTTTCACGCAATCCATCTCTTTATAGGTCTACCGCTACCGGTGTACCTCTCCACATTCAGATATTTACAACATTATTGATATAAAATCTAATCACTCTATCTTGTCTTTTACACTTCCGGCGCTTTTCTAATATTTTCTTATCTATATTTCTTCTACGACAAAAGACGAAAGCCTCAGTAGTCAATATGCCACCGCATTGCATTGAACAAGTATTCATTTTATGTTAAGTAGTAGTAGTAAGTTTAAGTAAATAACCTTGAATTTTTAGATTTTTGTATGACTAAAATTGACTATGTCTTAACTCGGTCATTAAAGTTTTGTTTTTAACGTTCCAGCAACCCGGTAAACTGGACATGAACAACTACACGATGGTGAGCGATGCGTTGCAGCACATCACTATTGGGCCCCCGCACTCCCGCGAAAGAAAGGTACGCCCCATGTCTTACTACCCTTATATCCTAATTGTTAAGTTATCTAGTACTCATAAATTCATTTTCTAATACAACGTAATTGAGATAATAATTCCTTTTGTTGAAGAAATTTGTTTTATAAAAGTATTATTTCTCAATTATGTTTGTCAAATCATCTTCAATGACTACTAGTGATTTCTTTTCTTTCGTAAATACTTTCTCGATAATGTCAGGCAATATAATAGTAATAGTAATTGGATGTGTCTCTGTTTCTATCAATTTCTACGAGTTATGATATTATAAATATGAAATACCGTAATTGCAATACATTATTGCCTGTTATTATACAAATTCATGCACATAGTCCTGCGAGCCGGACTCGGTGTTATCAGACATAATTAATTCTTAAGAAACCGTTAGTTTTATTCCAAATTACAAACCTAAATGGGTTTATGTTCAATGATGTTTATATTGGTCCTTTGAGTCGGATTTCAACAAACCTAGTTTTCGGTCCCAATTCGAGGGGTCGTACCTGTTGGTATATATCGGTACGTAATGCGGTACTGGTACGGGTTCGGGTACGGGTACATGGTCCCTCGAGTCGGATAGTATGAGTTGTGTGGGTCAGACGGGGCGCGGCTGGGCGGGCGCGGGCGCGGCGCAGCACCACCCCTCCGGCGTCAGCTCCGAGACCGAGCTCGACGCGCAGTACGCGCAGGTACAAGGGCACGCGGATATGCATCTTGTCACGCTTACATATAGTTCATTTTTGCATGACTTTTGTGTTATCGGCTTTACCAAGGATTTAGATCTACCAACTTTGTAGTTATGACTACAATGGAATAATTTTGAACAGTATTGATGTTTTTGTATGAAATCTCCTGTAATTTTGGCTGAATTTTTGACTTTAGTAAATGCACGGTTATTTTAAATGGCAACTTTTGATTGATTTCTTTTATTTTTTTTTTATATAACTTCAACAATATTTTGAGTTCTAAACTGTAGATTATTTTTTTTAATTTATAACCTATTTATCTAGTTAAATATTAAAGCTTATTTATTAGAGCTTTGAATATCGGCTTCAAAAGTTGTTTGTTTTGAGTGTTTATTGTTAATTATATTATGTATACTATATAATATGTTATGTTTTTTCCAGATCAAGGAGACGAATGAGTACATGGAGGCGCCCTCTATGACGAGACTGAGAAGACATAGGAGACACGATAAGACTCCTTTACATCAACCATGTAAGTTTTAAAATACCATACATATATTTTTAAACGTTTGCGAAAAATGGTGAACTTCACAATTTTATTGTCGTGTAAAATGCAGAAAATTATAAATTGATATTTTTTACAAGTTAAGTGACTTCTCTGGAGACTATCATTACCAAAAGTTTTGTAATATCCATATTACATGAATTAATTTTTCTGTAAAATTTATTTTGTAACTATTATTTTTTCTTTGTTTCTAAATAGTTTTAATTTTTATAAATAAAAGAAGTATGGTTACACGATCGTAACTGATATTGATTTTGTCATGCGACAAGACGCATATTCGCAAACAATGCCATATTCCTGCGACGTATTTCGGTTTAGTTTACTCAGCAGTAAATTGTTACTTTTTTATAACCGCCACATATTCCATTCTCGTTTCGATAATTATTATTGTCGATTCTAACTCTGTATTGTTATCTCTGTTTGTATGAGAGTGAAAGAGATGACTATATATCCGTCAATTATTTATTGAAAATTTTACAAAATACATACATACATGCACAATAATGATTAAATATGTGTGTGACAGCGTTCTCGGAGACGGATAGTTCTGGGTCGAGTGAGGCGTCGGGAGGCGCGGCGCGGGCGCACGCTCGCCGGCGACACAACGCGCACCACGCTCCGAGACATTACAAGAAAAGGTACCTATATAATTAATATCTCTTATACTTCAATTCTATAAACATCCATCCATCCATCCATCTTGCGACAGCCTGAAACTATATGAAAGTAATAATTTTTTTCTTTTTTCTCCACTGATAAAGAGTAATGTTTTCAATTATGACAATCCAAAGCTGAAATGTCTGAATCGATTTTCGCGAATAAGATATTATGGGGTATATATTCAAACAAAATAACTACAATAAAGGTGAGAATTGAAACTCGCCATATTTTTCCTGTTCTAATATTTCTTTCGGCGTTTTTCAGTCGTTTCTTTTTTTTTTGTGATTTAAGATATTTATTTTCTCTTAAAAATATATAATTCACTTGACAAGAGACATTTTTTTTATTCTAGCATTTACATTTTACACCAGTAATTTATAATCATATACATTAAGATTTTTTTTTTACCTTTTTTAAAGCGCGATTGTTCCGTTTATACCATATGGGTGTGTTATAATTAAATAAGGTTTTATTTATGTTTTTTTACTTAAAAGACATGTTTTATGTGACAGATCTCTAGGCAACTTAGTGGCGGTGCAAAGCCCACGTGTGCCGAAGCTCGGCATGTTTGTAGGTCCGCCGGAGCTGCCCAGCGGATACCGCGCTAGGACACAAGAGGATAAAGGTATCTTCTTCATATTACTTGTACTATTAACATTACCAGTATCATTGGAATTCATTACGGTTATATACTAGTTGTCTCCCGCATATCCGTCCGTGTGAGAGTAATAAAAGTTGCCATATTTTCTGCCAGACTATGGTCTTCATCTATGCCTAATTTTCTCAATATCCGTACATCCGTTTAGATAGTAAACAAACTTCAAATCTATTTAAATCTATTCAAACTTTTAATGCTTAATTCAAAAAGACGGCTGTTATTGGTTCAAAATTTAAGTAAGCATGGCAACTTGGACTATTTCATGGTATTGGTATTGGTTTTGTATTTGTCTCTTTCTTACAGAGCAATTTATTCCAATTGATTCACGCCTAAGCAATAGTTTGAAAATAGTCTAAAGCGTGTCGCAAGTTTTTATGATAAGCGAATTATTAAAAAATACGCTGCTATTTCCGATTTCTATTCTAATATTGTATAGAGGAATAATTTACATTTTTGTATGTATTAAAATAATTCAAAAAGAACTAAGGCGATTTCAAAAATTGTTTTACCATTAGAAAGCTACGTTATATTATAGCTGAGTAACATAGGCTATATTTTCACATAGACGAAGTCGCGAGCAACGGCTAGTCTTACTTAAGAAAGAAATATGTTTACGCTTTATTACATTAATTAGAAATCTTTGTATTTCAGCTGCTGCAAGTGATTCCAGTGACGGCAGTTCTGAGGGTGAGACGCGCCGGCCGCGTCCCCTGCCTCCGCCTCCGCACCACGAACCTACGCATAAGGTACACTAAAACACACCCTTAGTGTACATTTAACAAATACACTTTAGGAAATATTGCGGGATAGAAATAGGCGCGGAATTTTTAAAAAAAGTAGCTGAAATAGTAGTATGTTCTTGCAAAATATTATCAAGATCTGTTTACCTGTTATACCTTTTAACAAAAATCTATACAAATCATGTTTATAATATTGTAAATAATATCATTTGATATAAACTTAATAGATGCACTCTGATTTTGGTTTCATGCAACAGGATCGTATGCCTTATGAGGTCAGTATTAAATAAATGTACTACATAATTTAAATATTGGTGGTTATGGTGTCGCTGGTGGAGAGCTGGTGACGGTGCAGATTCAAATAATGCGACCGTTATTCTTCAAACCAATTTATTTTACACCAAACAAACTAAGTCCACAACACAATAGAAATAAAAGAAGAAGAGGAGTACAACACGTTACAAGTAGAAATTCAAAAGCGACTAGTAATTTACCCGCGCGCGCCGCTCGGTCAATGACCCCGGTCAGCTGTGCAGTCGCGAATAAGAATGCACCAATGACAGGTCACGAAATACAACGTTGCACTATATTTCGACCACTCGTCGTGCACCGTGTTTATACGTGTGAGCGAATGTATGTGTGCTGTGTATGAATGTTAAGTGTAACTGTGGAGTGTTTTGGCAAAATGTATAAGGTTCCCTGCATATTAAATTATTAATGTAAATATAAGTAGGAAAAAGAAAGGTCATTAAAATGTTATTAGTTCAGCGATAGCATTAAAATGTGACTATATTTTACTAGGTCGTGCCGAATAAAAAATATATTAGGTAGCCTACGTGTTCTAGAAATCGAAATTTATTCATCCGTTTAGGTTACACCCTAAGTAATATCCATCCATATAATCTTTCACATTTATAAAATTAGTAATATATTATTTTATGTCTATTCCAGTTGTTATCTGGCGAGTACCCGTCCTCTGCGCAAGATAACTCGTCCTCCAGCGCCGCCGACTCGCGCCGACGACCGCAGCCCTTCAGCAAACACGATCGCAGACATAAGGTACAGTCGCGGAAGTCCGCGGTGTTGGAAGTGGACTTCAGGAACTTAATTGAAACAATTTTCCGCCTCGTCCTACATATTTTTATTTATTTATTCAAAGTATATTAAATATCTTCTTACTACTTCTGACTACTTAAGGTTCGTAAACTTTCGTTTTTGAGAACCCTGCACATTCTCCCTGGGTGGTTTACATTTTTTTACTAATTATATTTTTTATTAATAAGTATTTAGATAGCAGTGAATGCAAACATACTAGCCGTGTACTACCGATTTTTTTTTGTAGAGATACATTTATAAGCAGTGTTATATTGGCTTTTGTTCCGCGTATCGTTTTAAAATGTTCAAACGATTGTAGCTTGTAAGGTCGAACACTGCCAGTATCTTCGATAATACGTTAATGTATCATAAAACCTTTATTTCATTAAAAATATGACATTTTAATATATTTTCAATGTACAGGAATTCTCTAAAAGTAAAGACAAGAAGAATTCGTCGCAAATAGCAAATGCACCATCAATACAGAACTGGGGTCCACAGGTATTTTAAATTTAATAAAAATAATTGTTCATCTTTCTTTACGTATCGTTATCGTAACGTTACCTAACAGCTTTATTTTGTTGGATGTAAATAACACTTTTAATATCATCATCATCATCACCAGCTCACTATACGTCCCCACCGAGGGGCTCGGAGCCTACCCTAAGTTAGGGTGACTAGGCCATAGTCAACCACGCTGGCCCAATGCGGGTTGGTTGACTTCACACATATCTTTGAATTTCTTCGCCGATATGTGCAGTTTGCATCACGATGTTTTCCTTCACCGTAAGAACGTCGGGTAAATTATGTACATATGAAAATTCGAAAAATCGAAAATCATATTGGTACATGGCGGGATTCGAACCCAAGACCTGTAGATTACAAGTCAAGTGCTTAAACCACTGAGCCACCGACGTTCTTAATATAAGATCCTATTATATTCAGTAAGCTTATAATTAAACCGAACTTATGGTCTTGCTCGCTTGAAAATCGAAACCGAAAATTCGGTACTTCAATACCAGTTTGAATGTAATTCTCTGTAATCATTATATTCACTATGTGACACTTTGTCATCTATACATTTCTTAAACATTGTCCATACATTACTCCAGGGTCTGCACGGCGTGCCTCTATTCGTGGAGAAGTGCGTGGAGTTCATAGAGCGGGAGGGGCTGGCCTCTGAGGGCCTGTACCGCGTGCCTGGGAATAGGGCACACGTAGATATGCTGTTTACCAAGTTTTATGAAGGTTGGTTCAGTAAATAACATCGCGAAATCTATTTAACTAAATTATATCTGTCCTTATCGCACTAATAGACGTCGTTGCATTAAAAATGTAATAAATAGCTTTCGCCTGCGACTCCGTTCGCGTGGTATTAAAAAAAACTAAACTAAGTAGCATATGTGTTCTTCCAGACTATATTCTACATGTATGCCAAATTTGATTGAGATCCGTTCAGCAGTTTAGGCTACAAACTCTAACAAACATCCATCCGTCCATCTAAACTTTCACATTTATAATATTAGTATGATCAGCTGTTCCCATGCGCCTTCATCCGCACTCCCTTCTAGCTTAATAGTAATAATAACTCTAAGATTAATAGTCTGACAATATGTAGGCTAAAAAAAAGTGATTCTAAAATATGCTTTGAATACCGATATCTTTCAAAACTAGTGTGTGTTTACGCTTTGTTATATTAGATAACAATAATTTATGATATAAAAATCCTTCTTTTTTTTACAGATCCCAACATAGATCTAGAAGCGCTAGACATCCCAGTGAACGCGGTGGCGACCGCGCTCAAGGATTTCTTCTCCAAGAAACTGCCGCCTTTACTGGATGAGACCAGCATGTCGCAGTTAGAAGATATTGCTGGTATATTGTTACTTCTTAATATTGGAACTTCTATCGTATCTATGTAATTTTTTTCTTGCGACTGTTATCTCTAATTTACTGTAAGTACAGTTCGTTATTTTATCTGAAATACACATGTAAAATACAAGGTGGTAAGAACTTCAAAGAATTTAGATGGTTAGTTGGTTATTTACACAATGTAAATTTTGTTACGGTAGACGAGCAAGCCGTTTTAATGATGTTAAATGTTCGTTATTATCCATAGTTAAAAAGCGCTTTTATACTAGATGTTGTATTGTGGCGCCATTTAAAAATAAAGTTTTCATGGGCGTTGCCTTAGGGGAGGTAGAAAGTGGCATCTGCTCCCTCCCCTATTAGACATGTCCTAGATAATCTTCCGGTGACGCCTGTTTCTAATATGTGATGTATGTTACAGCGATGCGCGGCTGCATAGCTGGCGGTGTGGAGCTGAAGGACCGCAGCTGGCGGCTGCTGGCGCTGCGCTCGCTGCTCAACA